ATTTTCTGGGTCTCTCATTGTGTGTTGACTGTACTCTGAATGGCGACCTTATGTTTCGTCAGAAGTTCATTAATTGAACTTTGCTTTAAAACACACGAGCTCTGGTCAATGTATTCCCCTATATATATTAGATTGTGACTAGAAATTGCCGATATATTTACCCAGTAGAATAACCAGTATTTTTTTATTAATATTATAGCTAGATATTCGGTCAACATATGACAATTGAAGTACAAAACAACAGAAGTCTCTGTTCTGCTTCAAGTTAACGCCCTTCCCAGGATGCAACAGACAATTGTAATGTACAATTCATTGAGTTTTCACAATAGGTAGTTTGTTGTTCTTATTTTGTTGTTTGATACAATCACAGTCCCTCTATCATAAAGGGACTGTGGTACAATGTACTGTCTGACCTATTTTATCGGACGCCTTAATGTACAAAGACACTGTACAGGATATACACCCGGCAATAATAAAAAAAAGCACTATATAATCGACAAACCCAAATTATTACCCACCAGCCTTATACAGTGTCACGTAATCTCCCGAATCTCGCATCACTGGCACGGGGGCGTGAATAGACTTGTCATTGAGATATAACATGCACTTGATCATACCCTCGACCACGCGTGGTTGCTTCGATTTTTTCAAACACAATATCTTCAAAACAAATTCGGCGTTTTTCCCGGTTGTACATTTTGCAACTACGTAAAAATTCTGATCGACACAGCTGACAAGCTCTTCCAGACGCTCTACTTTCACACTGTAGTTGCTTTCAACAAGAGTTTGAACTTCCTTCTCATGTATATCTGGCGTTCCATAATCTTCATACGTGACAATGCCAGCTTCAGAAGCGCCGGCAAGAAGACCATCATTCCAGATCGAATTCTCATTCGCCATCACAAGCAGTCAGAAATACCAAGAATTGTAACAATTAATGTTATTGTTAACCATGCATAAGACGTTAACCAATAAGGGCCCGAAGCATGACGCCACTACAGTATACAGTGACGTAGAATTCTATAAATAGTAATAACTCATTATAATAAAGTAATTAAGTTTAATTGTCAACCTGTAGAGGTGTATTGTATGCTAGTCGTAAATACATGGCCATGCACATCAATTGTAGTTCAAGTTGTGTTATGCTTTATTTTACAAATTGAAAAATCTCAAAGGAAGTCTTCTTGTTATATTGAAAGCAGTATCCCATTCAATGTAAACAAATACTGTCGTGTGCTAACTCATTAGCCAGTCAATTATTTGTTTTTTTTCATTTTCCTAAACTAGTTTTGATAAGTGCGTTATTAGAACCATTTGTTTTGATAATTGTGGCCATACTGTACAGCGCCCTCTTTATGGTCTATAGTATTGTACGGGGCATTTGTAAACAGTGAGTGGGCGAAACGAACAAAAGGTTATCCCTTGATTTACGACTACAATATTGATTTACGACTATAAACCATTATGGTGGAAGTTCTATAAGTTAAGATTAACATACAATGTGCGTTTATTCAATGCTATATTCAAATACATATAATACAGCGCGCGTGTTCGAAAAAGTGTTTACACGGACTGCGCATGTCCCTTCAGTATACTGCGTCAACAATCAATGCATATCTACCTAGCAAAAAACATAAAATACAAATAACACAAAATAGTAAAGTGACAAATCAATGTAATTAATTAATTCATTGGAGAAAGGCTATTCTAGCTGATATTTTCGAGTTGCAGATATGCGATAGATAGTAATCATTGGCATCGACATTACGTCTTAGTCACAAGTGTCACTTCCATCACCACAATATTACGTATTATCATTGTTGCTTGGGACCAATACTGGTAACACAAAATATGACGTTATATGGATGATATACACTATATATGCTTACCCTGAGTGCATTATCTATACGGCCAAGTAGACTACCTGCATTGTAACTCATTGTGGCAGATGGTTGTAGAATTTCACTGTATGACATTCCACTTATATATTTCAGCATATACACAGCATGATATCCATATTCTGAAAAATAAATAAATAATCATTCATTAGATATTGCATCGATACTCAGTGACGAGTTTTATAACAATTTGGAGGTGTAGTGTGAAAAATATAACGAAAATTGTATAAATTAGTGAGTTCATAAAAAAACGGAAATATCAATCTAGAATTTTTTTTTCGATCTACTAACATACTTGTTGCATCACGGGGGGGGGGGGGGCTAAGTAGGTTGGACAAGTTATAGCCGAATGTCAAGAAGTTACACTATGTCGTTCGAAGCACCATATTTGAAGCGGTGAAACTCATAATTATCTTATCACCATGGCTGCTATCTAACAGTAATTGACTGAAAATTATTCATTTTCAAGACAATGTTGATACTTGTGGAAGTAATTATAAATTTGGCATACGTTAAGTTCTATCATAGTCATGGTTGTAAATTAGCAGATTTTCTGGGTCTCTCATTGTGTGTTGACTGTACTCTGAATGGCGACCTTATGTTTCGTCAGAAGTTCATTAATTGAACTTTGCTTTAAAACACACGAGCTCTGGTCAATGTATTCCCCTATATATATTAGATTGTGACCAGAAATTGCCGATATATTTACCCAGTAGAATAACCAGTATTTTTTTATTAATATTATAGCTAGATATTCGGTCAACATATGACAATTGAAGTACAAAACAACAGAAGTCTCTGTTCTGCTTCAAGTTAACGCCCTTCCCAGGATGCAACAGACAATTGTAATGTACAATTCATTGAGTTTTCACAATAGGTAGTTTGTTGTTCTTATTTTGTTGTTTGATACAATCACAGTCCCTCTATCATAAAGGGACTGTGGTACAATGTACTGTCTGACCTATTTTATCGGACGCCTTAATGTACAAAGACACTGTACAGGATATACACCCGGCAATAATACAAAAAAGCACTATATAATCGACAAACCCAAATTATTACCCACCAGTCTTATACAGTGTCACGTAATCTCCCGAATCTCGCATCACTGGCACGGGGGCGTGAATAGACTTGTCATTGAAATATAACATGCACTTGATCATACCCTCGACCACGCGTGGTTGCTTCGATTTTTTCAAACACAATATCTTCAAAACAAATTCGGCGTTTTTCCCGGTTGTACATTTTGCAACTACGTAAAAATTCTGATCGACACAGCTGACAAGCTCTTCCAGACGCTCTACTTTCACACTGTAGTTGCTTTCAACAAGAGTTTGAACTTCCTTCTCATGTATATCTGGCGTTCCATAATCTTCATACGTGACAATGCCAACTTCAGAAGCGCCGGCAAGAAGACCATCATTCCAGATCGAATTCTCATTCGCCATCACAAGCAGTCAGAAATACCAAGAATTGTAACAATTAATGTTATTGTTAACCATGCATAAGACGTTAACCAATAAGGGCCCGAAGCATGACGCCACTACAGTATACAGTGACGTAGAATTCTATAAATAGTAATAACTCATTATAATAAAGTAATTAAGTTTAATTGTCAACCTGTAGAG